CACCCTCAACATTTGCGCGACAATCTACTAATTTCCCAATTCCTGCGTGTCATGCGCATTTGTTCTGACTCTACCACACGTGCCCTACAGATTGCAAATATGTATGACAAATTTGCATAGAGAGGTTATCCAACAGCAGTCATTGACTCAGCACTGTCCAAAGCAGAAAGAAGGTATGCAGGGTGCTCTACTTCACACAATGTGCAGGAAAGAATTCACTTTGTACAGACATTTACTGCAGCCTCTGGCAGGGTCAAAAAAGGGATCGTTTTACTCGTTGTAACCTCATCTTTTATATTTCATTAAAAAAATGGGTATTTTGTTGTGTTTTGGGGCATTTAATTAAATTTTTCACTAAATATTGGGGTTTAATAAGGAGTTGCGCTAATATTGCGCAACATAAAAATTTGCAACTACCACCATTTTATTCTATAGGGTCTTGGCATTCAGAAAATATATAATGTTGGGGGGTTTTAAGTAATTTTCAGGCCTAAAATGTGGAATATAACATGGGTACAAAAAATGAAAAAAGGCCTCAGTCATGAAGGGGTTAAGAAGCTTAATATTCTGCAGGGGTTAATTTGTATAATACTTATAGGATTTAATATATTTGCATACATAATTTCTATTTTGTTAAATTATTTTTATTTCTTTACACTTTTTTTGATACTTTACGCTTTTTTCCCACACTTTTTTTGTCTATGATATTAAGCAGCCACTATGACTGCTTGATAATTTAATTATTTTTTAACATTTTTGGTTATTATTAGGCTGCTTAAAACTTAGGAAGAGCCAATATAAATAACGTTAGTGACACTGATCCTGCAGCATGTCAGATTCAGATATCACTAAAGACTTCTGATGTTCTTTGAGCAATCAGAAGTCTGAGGCAATGTTTCATTTTGCTACATTATTATTATTATATAGGATTTATGTAGCGCCAACAGTTTGCGCAGCGCTTTACAATATAAGGAAGACATTACAAACACAATACAATTCAAGACAATATGGTAAGGAGGGCCCTGTCACTGAGGGCTTACAATCTAAAAGGGATGGAGAAGTGATACATGAGGAGGGAGCTGTGTGGGGATGAATTGTTTGAGAATGTGATGGTTCACTGGTTAAGTTAAGGTGGGATAGGCTTCCCAGAAGAGATGAGTCTTAAGGGATCACCTAAAGGTAGTCAAGGTGGGAGATAGACGGACAGATTGGGGTAAAGAGTTTCAGAGGATGGGAGAGACTCTAGAAAAGTCCTGGAGGCGAGTATGGGAGGAGTTGACAAGGGAGCTAGAAAGCAGGAGGTCTTGGGATGAGCAGAGTAGACTGTTAGTGTGATATTTTGAGACAAGGTTTGAGATATATCCAGGGGCAGAGTTGTGTATGGCTTTATAAGTGACTGTTAATATTTTGAATTTTATCCTCTGGGTGAGTGGAAGCCAGTGGAGGGATTGACAGAGGGGGGTTGCAGACACTGAGCGGTTGGTTAGGTGGATGAGTCTAGCAGCTGCATTCATGATAGACTGAAGGGGGGATAGCCTGTGTAGTGGAAGGCCAATGAGGAGGGAGTTGCAATAGTCAAGACGAGAGATAACAAGGGAGTGGATGAGTAGTTTTGCGGTTTCATTGGTGAGGAAGGGGTGTATTTTGGAGATGTTGCGAAGGTGAAGGCGGCAGGATTTGGATAGTGATTGGATGTGGGGCAGAAAGGTGAGGTCCGAGTCAAGGATGACACCTAGAACCTTGGCATGAGGGGAGGGCTGGATAGTTGTGTTATCAATCTCAACTGAAATGTTGGGGGAAGGTGCACGGGCAGGAGGAAATATCAAGAGCTCAGTTTTTGAAAGGTTGAGTTTTAAGTTTTGTGACAAGTTTTGTGACATCCAGACTGATATGTCAGTTAGTAGATTAGTGACACACAAGGACACTAAGGGGGTGAGTTGTGGAATGGAAAGATAGATTTAAGTGTCATCGGCATAGAGATGGTATTGGAAGCCATGTGAGTTTATTAATTGACCAAGGGAGGAAGTGTAGATGGAGAACAGGAGGGGACCAAGGACAGAGCCTTGGGGGACCCCTACAGAAAGAGGAAGAGAAGGGGAGGAGTTAGATTTGTAGGTGACACTAAAGGAGTGCACAGCTAGGCAGGAGGAGAACCATGAGAGAGCAGAGTCTTGTAGGCCAAGCGAGTGGAGTCCTTTGAGAAGCAGCGGGTGGTCAAGAGTGTCAAAAGCAGCAGAAAGGTCTAATAGCAAGAGTAAGGAGTAGTGGACGTTGTTTTTAGCAGTTAGTAGGTCATTGGTGAGTTTTAACAGCGGGGATTCAGTTGAGTGTATGGGGCGAAAGACGGACTGAAACGGGTCTGAAAGGTTGTTATTAGTGAGGTGGCGACTCAGGCGGTTGTAGATAAGGCGTTCTAGTAGCTTAGAGGTGAATGGGAGTAAGGAGATAGGTCTGACATTATTGACGTTGGTAGGGTCCAGTGAAGGTTTTTTGGGTATTGGGGTGACTAGTGCATGTTTCAGAGGGGAAGGAAAGATGCCTGTAGAGAGTGAAAGATTGAAAATGTGAGTAAGTGAATGTATGATAGAGCAAGAGGGTGTCCGAAGTAGTTTTGAGGAAACAGGGTCTAGAGGGCAAGTGGTGAGGTGGGTGTCAGAGAGAAGCTTTGTAATCTCCTCTGTGGTGACAGGGTCAAAAGAGGAGAGTAACAAGTGTGATGATGGGTCTGGTACATGAATAGGGGAAGGTGACTGCACAGTGGTGATCTGAGCCCGAATTGTATCTATTTTGTTTTTTAAATGAATGGCAATGGCCTGGGCAGTGAGTGAGTTAGTGGGTGGTGGCGGTGGAGGACATAGTAGAGACTTAAAGGTAGAAAAGAGTTGACGAGGTTTGGATGAGAGTGTGTTAATGAGAGTAACAAAATAAGTTTGTATGGCGGCACGGAGGGAGGAATTATATTCTAGGAGGGCAGCTTTATACATGGTGAAGTCTTGCAGAAGTTTCTATGAAGCATAGAAATGTGTAGCAAAATTAAACATTGTATAATTGTACACATTGGGATCTGTACAGAGCTGTCAAAACAGATCCCGATCTGTGCAGAGATGTCAAAACAGTGATATAGCAGAGCCGTTCACACGGCTCTGTTTTCACTGTCAGATACTCGATTGCTGACAGCGATAAGGTATCTGTAAAAGCTCAATTCTTTCATTAATGAAAGAATTAAGCTTTTACAAAAGCTTCATTCCTTTATTAATGGATGCATCAATACTGAGGCATCCTTTAATGAACGGTAACCGCTGATCTTAGCGGTTACCGGCCTTTAAAAGCTTCACATAGCTGATCACGTACAGTGTACGTGGCCAGTCGTTTGGGCACTTCATGCTGGGGACATACTGTGTACGTTCACATTGATGTTTGCACTTTGTCAATGTTAAGCCTGATGAAGGGACCCTGCGCGGCCTCAGAAGCGCTTGCTTATACTTGCCATGGTTCTTAATAAATGAACACTGGGTGATCCTTAACCCCTTCATGACTGAGGCCCTTTTTTCCATTTTTGCACCCATGTTATATTCCACATTTTAGGCCTGAAAATGACGTAAAACCCCCCAACATTATATATTTTCTGAATGCCAAGACCCTATAGAATAAAATGGTGGTAGTTGAAAATTTTTATGTTGCGCAATATTAGCGCAACTCCTTATTAAACCCCAAAATTTAGTGACAAATTTAATTAAATGCCCCAAAACACAACAAATTACCCATTTTTTTAATGAAATATAAAAGATGAGGTTACAACGAGTAAAACGATACCC